TATATATATATATATATATATATATATATATATATATATATATATATATATATATATATGAGCGCGGGTGCAAATAGCTACACACTTTGTGAGGTAAGCCACCGGCTGCAAACCTCAAGACTTGGAACGAAAGGAAGTGCTGAAGAAATGATGAAACTCACATGGAAGAACAAGAACAATAAGCGCCCCATCACAACCATCTCTCACCTTCCATTCGATCAAGAAGAATTAACCAGCACCGATGAAGAACGATGTAAAGCTGGAGATGATGGTTCTGCCCAACCGTCTACGGCGGTTTCTCCTGTTGACGAGACGATCCGACTTGCCGAATCGTTTGAAGCACAAGGGAACAAGCTTGCAGAGGTAATCTTTCACCTTTGCAGTACCTAGGTTTTGTTGAATATGCTTTAAAGTAGTGTTTGATGTCAGAATAAAGCAACTGTTGGTTCAAATTCCAAACTAATTGCTCTCCAATTTGAAATCCAAGCCATGGAATTGGAGTTTTGAAACATAACATAATGGTATCGTTCCACCAGACTTACGAAAATTCTAGCTTTGGCCACTTTCCTTTCAATATTCTCCAAATTCCATTCTTGTGCTCTACCAAGAGAACCATACAAGGAAAAACTTGATGGTGATGGTAAATTTAAAGAAATTCACATTAGTTTTGCACTTGGAAAAACTAATTTTGATGTAAGGCATCTCCATAGCTAGCATGGAGCCTTTAGATGACTAGTCCATAGAACTTAATCAAGCCATCCATGATGATGTAAATTGGGGGAAAGTTACTTGGAGTAGCTTCAGACTTGATGAGGAAGAGGAGATGGCATCAGGGATAAAAAATGGTGAAGAAGACAAGATGGAGTTGGTGGACAGAGGGTTTAATAGCAATTCTGAAGTTGAGTGACTGAAGGAGACTTAAGAAAGGCGACTTGGACAAGTTGCTTGAAGAGTTGTATGGGTTCGAGTACTTCTGCCAGAGACGGCTTGCAACGGCCAACAGCCGAATGAGATATGTATGTTTTCTTAGCTGATTTCAAGAGTATTAACATCAAATACACAAAATCATGTATTGATATGAAGAAATCAGATTGAGAGTAAAGAGAAGGGGAATCAATCAGGAAAACTCAATTGATGATTCGAAACAATACGAGATGAGCTAAGATAAAGATAACATACCTATAGGTCTCATTTCATGTTATAAATATGGCTTATGTTGAAACAATTGACCAAGAGATAGAGGCCATGGAGAAAGCTTCTCTGCTGATATTTGATTAAAGAAGACGATAATTATACAAAGGTAAAGAAGATAATATATACCTATGTATACTATGCAATGATGACAAATTTAATCCCTAAATATGTACGATAAATATATGCTAACAAAATTCAATGGCTGCTTGGTATTATTGGCTTTTGTAGATATGATCATTCTCCCTTGTGTCTTTTGATGTTCGAAGACATACAATAGGATATGTGTCTCTCATGGAAAAAAAAGACGACTGTAGGATGTGTTCCCTGTAAGGAAATGACAGTCATGAAAATCCTGTATTCTTGCATGACGAACACAACTTCAAGATTTGCTGCCTTTCCCATTTCTCAGTGTGCCAAATCAAAGAATGCTATGATAATTATTTCAGATTCATTCGTATGAATTTGACTATTCAACACTTGCTTGATTAACATTACTTAGCTTAACGTGGTTCAACCTTCATAGCATCTTTAATCTCAGGGCATGCAAAGTTCCATTTTTGTAAGAATCTAGTGAATGCTTTCTGGATTAGGATGTTAATGTAGGCTGTTGATTTTTCGGTACTTGGAGAAAGGTAAGATAAAGTGGGACACTAAAATACAGGGTGGGGGACTACAGTATAAATCTAGTGGCTAGTTCCCTGTTTATAAGAGAACTTCCTGCAGCAAGTGAAAAAAATATCAGGCTACAACGGTTGGACTACAAAAATGATTGAAAATTTTACATTTTAATTGTAGTAATCAGAACAACTATACTTTCGGCCATACTATTATTGCTGGCACCATGCTGCTGCTGTCCTGCTTATCGTCATGTATTTGAATCTGTACTTCTTTCTTACGTTATTAAATTTTTCTTCATTTTTGCTTATTTCAAACATTGAAGTTGGGAAAATACCGTGAAGCACTTGGAAAGTGGGAAGCTGCTATCACTTTGATGCCTGAGAGGGCAACTTTACATGAGGAGAAGGCTCAAGTTTTACTTGAAATTGGAGAAACATGGAAGTCCCTACTGGCAGCAACTCGTGCGTATCTATTACTAATTTGTTTGATATCTTATATTCTTGTTCTCATGAATGTGTTGTGTTCAATGTATATATTGACTTGATCTTTCATGTTGTTCATCTATAGTCTTGGGAACCCTTTTACAGCTGATCATAAGAACCATGTGATATCCATAAGTCTACAGGTTTATATCTCTAAATTAATTTTTTGTAATTTTTAAAGCATTAAGCGTTTGAGAGAAAACATGTCTTCTATCCTAAGGAGAAAACTATGATATATGGACTACCTATGGAGAATAAAAGAAACCAAAGTAATAGAAGGAAACAAAATAATATCAATTAGCCTAAATCTATCTAAATCAAAGGAAATCGCAACTACCACTGTATCCCGTCCCCGAAATTGACACCCTCTGAAGCACATTATCTGTTCTATATATAGCTTATCTTTTTTTGGTCTTTTAGCTATAAAACAAAAAAACAAGAAAGAGCGTAGTGAAGGGTGAACACGATGCATCAAGTTCTTCAACTTGTGAGGATTAGATGGGTAACATTTCCATTACATTTTGAATGGGCCTATTTTCTTGATTTGAACGATGCTTATGCATTCAGTACCATATATATGCTACTCTTTATTTAACTCTTATCAAATATGGACCAACTAGCCCACTGCAACAAAAATTATACTGTAATTTCTTATTGTGCAAGGTATGGCAGAAATGCAGTTTGATTTACCCCATGTTTTTTATTTTTACTCAATTATGCAGGTGCCACTCAATTGGAGCCTTCATGGGCTGAGGTCTGTAACTTTTTGTATTATAGTACATTGTTAACATTCATCCATTGTACTTGTATATTGAGTGTTTCTGTTGCTTTCTTTTCGTTTCTTCTTATTAAAGCTCATGGTGGTGATAGCTTTGATGTGAGGAATGAAGGAGGCCATACCCTCCTGGATTTCGCAATTGTGTATGATCTAGTGGTGTCAATCTCTTGCTTTAGAACACATGTGGTGATAAGTGATGACCTTAGAGTGGGGGGCATAACATCCAAATTGATTACCTCCTTATATGTAGCCGGGACTGCAGAGCTTGCAGGGGTTTGAGAGGTGTTCTCAGGGGAGACGTGTTCTTCTGATACAAGTCTTCTGATACAAGTTGGATATAATTGTAATGGACACGTCACATTATGGTAGTGGTCCCAACTGCTTTTGTAGTCTGTTATAGATTCCTATATATGGGCGTATGATATACCTATTGAGGCATGAATAAACAATATCCCTCTATGACGCTCTCTCACTTTCTCGTTATGAGTTGTACGTAATTCTCCTTCAACAACTATTCTTCTATTACTTGTTCTTGGTGGTACGTTTCTGGTTGAACGTTGTATTGAATCCAAACTTAGCCATCCTAGATTATCATTGGTATCAGAGCAATACGCTCCTTGGACCGCAATCATTGCAATCACCAGAAATATGACAAAGAGACAAGGGGTGAACACAGAAACGTTGGGATCGGAAAAATGGTCTAATGTCCAAGGCTCAAGTGATGATTCGGAAGCTCAATCATCTACACAAAACATTGAGGTAATACTCAAATCTGCACTGGAAGATTTGGAATTAGACTTGAATGTAATAACCAACAACAGAACTTACGAATTTCTGAAAATTCACGAGCAGTTTCAGAAATAAGTGATCTGTTTACTGGGATTTCTGTACAAATGTCCCAAATCATGGCCGATAATCTCAAATTGAAGGGAAACTCTACAGGGTTTGGAGACGAGAGATCGAAAAATAATGATGGATCGATTCCTGTGTCTAAAAATTCCATGATGTCTGGTCAAAAACTAAGTAACCTGATAGGAAACCCTCATCAATGTTCATCTCGTCTTACAAAAATTAAATTCCCTAAGTTTGGAGGTGAGGATTTGAAGTCATGGTTACATAAGGTCCACCAATTCTTTCAATTAGATCAAATCCATGAAAATACCAAAGTCCCATTGGCGTCCATTCATTTAGAAGGAATTGCTCTGCAATGGCATCAGGGGTATATGAAGGATAGGAATTTTGTCAACCCTACCTGGTAGCAGTTGAAATCGATGTCACTGGTAGGTATGGGGAGGTATTTGATGATCCAATGGCAGAATTAATGGAGTTAGGACAGATTACTTCAGTCAAAGACATCAATTGCAGGTTACAACTCTCACCTGCTAATGCATTGAGTTGCTTTATTACTGGACTTGAAGATGATATTAGGAGTCTCGTGAGGATGTTTAACCCAACTACTACACATCAGGCCTACGCTCTTGCCAAAATCCATTAAGCTAACCTTATGAAACAAAAAGGGAAGGGAAATCCAAAGAACCTGTTAATGCCAACCCTACAAACCAGTAGCAGCTGGAATAAAAAATATACTGGAAAGTTCATCTGGAAACCACCCAACCAACCCCCTAAACCCTTCCATAATCCACCCAAAGCAGTCCCGATTTTACAGAAACCCACTACCACTCGAAGAACCTTAACCCCTGCAGAATTTGACTAAAAAAGATCGAAGGGTCTTTGTTTTTTTTCTGTGACGAGAAGTATGTGTATGGACACCGTCGTAAAGGAAAGAGGCCCCAATTGTATCATCTCCAATCAGAAGATGAAGAAGGAGATGATGGAGAGGAAATGGTCGCAGAGGACGTTGTCCAAGAAATAGCCCAGATATCAATGCATGCCTTGGCAGGGGTAGCTGATTACCAAACCATGAGGGTTACGGGACAACGCAGGAAAGAGGAACCTCCAACTTCTATTGGACACTGGCAGTATCCGTAACTTTATGGATACTAATCTGGCATTGAAGTTGGGGTGCAAGTTGTCAAAGAAAAATCCCATGTCGGTAAGAGTGGTTGATGGAAACAAGGTGGCCTGTGATACCATGGATGAAGGATTTTTACAGAAAATGCAAGGGATAGAGTTCATTGCTGATGTGTTCCTAATGCCACTCGGGGAATGGGACATATTACTAGGGTCTAGGAGTTAAATTTTTACATTATTAGGCATGGTACTTTTTGACTTCTCAAACCACACAATTGATTTCCAAGTACAAGGGAAGAGACTTGGGTTAAGGGGAGCTACCAGTAAGGGTATAAAGTCAGTGGGTCTCAGTAAAATGGGGAGGGTGAGAATTATCAATGCTTCAAATAATGTTATGAAGATATGCCTACTGCTGAATTGCATGCTCATTCAATGCAAGAAGATCATGGCATTCCACCAGACATCAGACAGCTCCTGGATCATTATGAAGGCATTTTTCAAGACCCAAAAGGATTACCTCCTTTCAGGAAAGGTTTCAATCATTGCATACCACTAAAACCAGATCTACTCCAGTCAACTTACACCCTTATCGCTACCCCTTAGTTCAAAAAGATGTGATAGAGCAACTCACTCAGGAGTTACTGGAACAGGGTGTTATTCAACCTAGCTCCAGTGCCTTTGCATCACCCGTGGTCCTCGTAAAGAAAAAAGATGGAGGATGGTGGATGGAGGATGTGCATCAACTACAGGGCTCTAAAGAAAGCAATTATCCCAGATAGGTTTCCTATTCCCCTGGTGGAAGAGCTGCTGGATGAACTATTTGGTACCAGGTATTTCTCTAAATTGGATCTCAAATCTGGGTACTATCAGATTCGAATGCACCCAGAAGATATACAAAATGGCTTTTAGAAGTCATTGTGGCATTATGAGTTCCTAGTTATGCCATTTGGGCTAACTAATGCACCCCTCCACCTTTCAGAGTCTCATGAATCATATCTTCAACCTTACTTGAGGAAATTTATGTTGGTGTTTTCAATGACATTCTCATATATAGTCAGATTGTGATACGCACTTGAAACACCTGGCGACCATCTTTTCCATCTTACAGCAACACTCGTTGCTGCTCAAATTGAACAAATGTGCTTTTGGGGCAACTCAAGTGGAATATCTGGGACATATTATCTCACATGAAGGGGTAGCTACTGACCCTAGCAAGATTAAGGCAATCAAGGAGTGGCCAACACCCAAAAACATCAAGCAATTGAGATTTTTTTTTGGGTTTGACGGGGTATTATAGACGATTTGTTAAGAGTTATGGTACCTTGGCTAAACCACTTACACAACTGCTAAAAAAAGATGTGTTCCAGTGGACTATGGATGCAGAAAAGTCCTTCATTCAGTTGAAAGAAACTATGGTGTGGCCTCCTGTGTTGGCCTTACCTGACTACAAGTCCCCGTTCACAATTGAGACAGATGCTTCTGGTCACGGTATTGGGGCAATGCTGATGCAGAAAGGACACCCTGTTGCTTTCAGTAGTAAAGCTCTTTCAACCAAACACATGACACTGTCAACTTATGAAAGAGAATTGTTGGCCATTATTCACGCGGTACCAAAGTGGAGCCAAAACTTGTTAGACAGGCATTTCATTATAAAGACCGATCAAGGGAGTCACAAGTATCTGTTAGAGAATAAACATTCTACCCCTTTCCAGCGGAATTGGCTTTCTAAGTTGTTGGGGTTTGACTTCGAGATTCAATATAAAAAGGGTGTCGAGAACAAAGCTGCAGATGCTTTGTCACGAATTGCTCATAATGAACTCTTCCAGTTAGCAGTTTCTTCCATTGATTCTGATTTAATGGGGACGATAAGAGAGAGTTGGGAGAAGGATGCTAAGCTGAAAATCCTGATTCAAGAGTTAAAGGAAAACAGTATGGCACATCCCAAGTACAGCTGGAGAGAAGATCAACTTCAAAGAAGAAATAAATTGGTTATCGGTGAGCACAAGGAGTTAAAGAACAAAATTTTACATTGGATGCACGATTCTTTTCGAGGTGGTCGTTCAGGTGTCACAGTGACCATGAAAAGAATTGCTCGATTGTTCGTTTGCCCAAAACTCAAGAATGATGTAAGTGAGTATATCCGAAATTGCAAGGTGTGTCAACAATGCAAGTCAGACTTAGCTGCATATCCGTGCCTGCTACAACCTCTACCCATACCAGAAACTATTTGGGAACATATACCTATGGATTTCATCAAGGGGATACCCACTTCGGAAGGAAAAAATGTCATTTTGGTGGTTGTTGATCGTTTGAGTAAACATGCTCACTTCATGGCCCTTAAACACCCATTTTCTGCGTTGGATGTTGCTCAAGTGTTCCTCAACAACATTTATAAACTGTATGGCTTTCCGAAGTCCATAGTTTCTAATCGAGACAAAATTTTCCTTAGCACCTTTTGGAAGGAATTGTTGGCAATACAGGTTATTGATCAAAACCTTTCAAGTGCTTATCGCCCTCAATCAGACAGTCAAACCGAGGTTTTAAACAGGCGTCTAGAAGGTTATCTCAGATGTATGTGCTTCTCCAAACCTTCTGAATGGCATAAATGGTTGCCTCTAGCTGAGTTTTGGTACAATAGTAATTACCACACAGCTTCTAGAACCACCCCATATGAAGTCGTTTATGATCAGCCACCCCCGCTGCATTTACCCTACCTACCAGGGGAGAGTAAAGTTGATGACATGGCTCGAAGTTTATCAGCTAGAGAAGACACTATTGTTGTGCTCAAACACAACTTATCTAAAGCCCAAAACAAGATGAAACAAATGGCAGATAAGCATCGTTCAGAAAGGGAATTTTCTGTTGGAGATTGTTTCTATCTTAAGCTCCAACCATATAGACAATCTTTTGTGGAATTCAGAACCAATCAAAAGCTTGCTGCTAAATACTATGGCCCTTATCCTATTATTGCACGAGTGATGCAAGTGGCTTATACACTCCAACTCCCTCCGCACACCTCCATTCGCCCCACAATCTATGTATCACTCCTCAAATGCCACCATGGTTCCTTAAATTCTGTCACTGATCTCCCTCCTTCGCTTATCCACTCCGCTTCTAGGCAAACCTCTGCCTTATTAGACATTCAGACAGTCAAAAGCCATGGTCGCGCTTATATTGAGTGGTTAATCAAACGGGAAGGCAGCTCTATTGAAGAAGCAACTTGGGAATCTGCTGAGCAGATTGCTTCCGTGTATCCATCTTTTGATCCTTGGGGTCAAGGATCCTCTCAAGGAGGGGGTATTGGTACAAGTTAGATATAATTGTAATGAACAAGTCACATTATGGTAGTGGTCCCAACTGCTTTTGTAGTCTGTTACAGATTCCTATATATGTGCGTATTATTTACCTATTGAGGCATGAAGTAAACAATATTCCTCTATGACTTTCCCTCACTTCCTCATTATGAGTTGTACATAATTCTCCTTCAACAGCCATTCTTCTATTAGTTGTTCTTGGTGGTACGTTTCTGGTTGAAAGTTGGATTGAATCCAACCTTAGCCATCCTAGATTGTATCATCTTCGTAGCTCAAATTGATGACAATAGACTTATACAAGAGGGGTTGCATTGGAGGGAGCGAAGGAGGCTAGATCGAGGTTCCTGTGGAAGAACCTGAAAGGGGCCGCCGTAATAGAGGTATTTAGGAAGAGGGTCGCGTATATAAGAAGAAAAGCGACACACAACATTGTGGCAAGTATTGTGGTACTAAGCTATTTAGCCACACCATTAAATTAGGGAAGCGAGTGATTGAGGCCAAGGCAACGCGAAATGCAGGTGACAGAAAACCAATTTGGCTTTATGCCAGGGAGGTTGATGATTAAGGCAATCCACTTCCGCAGACACCTCATGGAGAAGTATAGAGAGGGTAGTAACGACTTACACATGGTGTTTCATAGACTTAGAAATGGCCTATGATATGGAAGAGTCTGTAGTAGGGTGGAGTACCGTGGAGGTATATCAGGACGATAAATGATATTTAAGGCCGAATAATGCTGTGTGCCAGGACCAGGACCAGTGGGTGACATGAAGTATTTTCGACAGAGATAGAGCTACACTAGGGATCAACATGAACGTATGGCTTTTTCATGAAATAGCAAGGATGTAGGTGTGGAGATACCATTTTGTCATTTCGGGATAGACCAATTTAGGAATGTGGAAAAATGGAATAAGGGTGTGGTGACCAATGAGGATAAGACATACAATCAGTTGTTATGATATGCAACACTTCCAAAAAAGCACTGCATTAGCCCACATAATAAAGAGAACTGCAGGAATGGTCCATGCCTTTAGTTTCCACCCCATAAGTTTTATCATAATGTGGCTGCATGACCACCACAATCGCTATACAGCTGGTTGTTACCTCCTATTGGTAGCTGATCATCTTTGATTACCGTTCTTCTTGCCTAATGATCCTTCTTAAGGTCAATCTACTAATTTACCTACAGACATATTTTAAATAGAACACAAACAACTGCGTAGCAAAAATATATAATAAATTAGTCTGTCGACATTACCTCAAACTCCTCTTTTCACCATTGATGATAGGTGTTGCAAAGGGTTAAAAACCAAGTCATAAGTCTCTCCAAAATGATCTCGGTAATAGGGACAACGTGATGCTAGGGACTCATCAGGATGAATATCTATGATGATGAAAATAATGTGTTACTGTATCCTTCATATCAGAACTTGCAAGCAAAATATGAATGTATATAAAAATATGTTTGCTTTCACCGATCTTAAGGTATTTACAACAGATGCACAACATATTCCATAAAATTAGATGTAGTGATAACGGTCTGGAACTTTATAATAACTCGTGTCCTGATGTATGCTTCATCACAAAAGTCATTCTTAACTTGCAAACTAGGTGACCATTCCCTTCTTGCCAAATGATCTCTCCTAAGGTCAATCTAAGGATTCAAGTCGTTTCTTGTACACTGCATGATTCCTATTTGAAAGGCTTTTACACATCTATTTGATGTATAGCAACTAAAGTGAAGATCATGGTACTTGCTGCACTCTCTGGGTGTGAGGTTTGTCCACACACGGTGTTAACTGCTAAGCGAAGTTTATACATCTTATGGACAAGATAACCTTATCTTTCTTATTACATACAATTATCACCTCACAAAATAGGTTTCCAAAAAGATTTCCTTCATTCTTAATGTTGTAACGAAATATTTTAGTATTATACAACCACCACCCCTTGCCATTGATTAATTATTCTAAAAGCCTGTATTTGTTATGCCATTTACCTAAACTATGTTGCAAATGCATATATCATGCATTACATAACCAAAGGGCCTTGGGCCTTGGGCCTAGGGGTATCTGGCAACCAAACCTTCCTATAGGCCCAAACCTTCCTATAGGCCAAGGGTTCCAACCTTACCAAGGGTGGGGAGTGTGTGTGAGTTTCATTTTCTGCATGTAAATATTATATACTTCAAAAAAGGATGCCACTATTCATCATAGTGGAACCTGTTCTTTCTTCATCTGCCCGTTGCCGGGGACACGTATGCACACATGGGAAATAGTAAGAGAGTTGATCAAACATCATAGCATATATAAAACTGTCCTGGCGTTATGCATGTTTGATAGATTTTCCTAGTGCTGAAGGAGGCACGTTGTTACTTGCTGACTACGGCATGCTTCAAAATAATCGGAGTCTTCACCTTGACTTACCTTTTATTAAAATATACCTTTCTAAATTAACACAGGAGAGGGGTTGGTGTTCCCGCTTGTGCTCATTTTATATAATGCAAGTGCTCTTAATGCTAGATGATACTTCACCTTCTCCTTAAAGAGAGCAACATTTTGGTGTTTTGAGTTCTAACCTGGTATTTCATTATAGACTTGATATGGGTTATATTACAAATATAACACCACAAATTATCTATCTATTATTACTTGATACAGAAACTAATTGGTTATATAAGATCTTATCATATAGTTTTACAACTCATGCCAATTTTGTAGTTAAAGTAACGCATTTAAGATCTAAAATTTAATCACTTTGTTATTGTATGGAGTAAATATTTCCTTGATTTTCTTCTAGTCCCAATATATTCCAAAACCAACTCTGAATGCCTCTAGAAGTTGTGTTGTGACAAGGGTTTTGGGTTAAACAGTTGTGTGTCTGGGAATGAGTTGATGTAATTTACCTCATATTCAGCTATTAGTCGGTTATGAAGAATGACGTATCCAGCTTGATGAAACGGTTTAGTGTAATTATATTGGGTTATTTAACTATTTGTTCTTTTCTCTGTTCGTGCAGGCGTGGGTTACACTTGGTAGGGCGCAGCTAAACTATGGGGAGCCTGATAGTGCCATAGAGAGCTTTGACACAGCATTAGCTATTAAGGTACAACTTCTATCCATACAATATTCTCTGATGATTCAGTTGAGCCTCAAGTATATTTACTAGAAATGTTCAAGCTTTTATAACATCCTTTCTTATTTAGATATATACATATGTGTGTGTGTATATAATGCGCGTGTGTATAAGCCCTTTGATCCGATAAATTGTTTGGGAAGTTAATACCTAGAAATTAGTGGACCTAAACTGTTTGTGTGTAGGAAGCCTCTTCTTAATAATCTTTCTTCTAGCAGACCTTATGTGATGTATGTTTGGAAAAAAGGCCTCTTTAGTTCCTGTAAAAATTTCGACACTATTAGTTCAAACTTATCATATATAATGCAAATTTCTTTAATTTTAAAACAATTACCAGAAAAAGAAGTTCAGCATACATGAGGGCATACGTATTTGAAAACATGAACAATTATTTTTGTAAGGGCATTTGGCTAGATGCGTTTTAATCCCTTCGTCCAAGATTAAGTGTCCACAATAAAAATGAAACATAAGTTAATCAAAGGACTACTTTACTCTTGATTAATTTATCTATCTTACAACTCTTAAATATTTGTGCATTAGTTAAGGGTAGATTTGGAAATTTAGGTATCTATTTTTGAAACTAGACACTTTCTGGGACAAATACAAATAGAAATGTAGACGTTTATGTTGGGATGGAGGGAGTATATGTTTTGCGAAAATATGAAGATGTCTGAATAAACTGAACTCAGCATCACAAGTTGAAAACAAGACGGATTTCTTAGCATCTTGAGCTCGCGTAGTATAATATCCTTCTACATTCGCTGTGTTTTCTTCTTTTCCTAGAAGACCTTAAAAACCATGCCCGAAAGCGTAAAACTTTTGTTGTCTGTCTGACGACAAATGCCTAGAATTTATTGAACAAGACATGAATGTAGGATTCAAATCCAAACTTTTAAAGGGGGTGTTGGATCATTATATATATCTTTTTTTCTTTTTAAAGTATATAACATTCATATACTGCAAATGTGACAAATAAACTCATATACCCTCCTCAACTTTGGTGAAGTTTGAACACCTAACCTCTTGAGAGGCCAAAGGTCCGGATACTGCCATGTGAAAGGCCCTTTGGTACACTACATATCTGCAAGTAAAGCCGACGGCACAATTTGATCCTTTGTCCTGCTTGAAATCTTAATCTGTTAATTTCCGATGTCCTCGAATTAGCTTCAGAGTTTAATGTCTCTACAATACGTCAACCATATTAAATTCAATGTTGATGCAGCCTGATTCCGTGGAGGCAAAGGAGGATAGGCAAACTGCGTTACATCTCATCAAGAAACGGAAACAACTTCATTCCTCGGGCCTCAGCATTTCCGAGAACCGCTACGTGGTCGGAGAGAAAAACCCCGTATAAAAAACAGGCATCTCCGGTTTCTTAGTGTAGCTTCTTACATGTTGTTATATATAGATTAAATGATTCTTTTTTCTTTTTCTGTGCTTACTTTTTACTCGTAAGTCGGGTCATGATAGTTGTTCGACCCTTTGAAGTAGAGGATACTTTTGTATGCATCTTGTCCCTAGACCCTGTTTTCAAGTAGATGCACTATGTTTGGCTTACAACAAAATCGGGTTTATAAGAAACCAAAATTGTCTAGTTGTTCTAATAGACTATTTTATAGGACTTAAATTTATGTAATCAAGTAACTGTGAATCATATGTAAAAACGTTACAATAAGTTAAATAGAATGTTTATGGACGTCTTAACACTATTTTTAGGACATTTTTCAAATAAAATGTCCTATTAATCTTTTGACATTGTTGAAAGAAAATGTCTTACAAAAACAATTGTCTTATAAAAAATGCATTCATAGAACACGTCTCAAAAATATCTTTAAAAAACGTTGATACGATATCATAATATTAACAATTATTTAATATTATGTACTGGTATGTAAAATTTTATATCATATATTAATTAACTGTATTTGATACCAATTTTTTTGGTGTTACATGTTACTAATCTTATACCAATTTCCAAGTTACATAAATGAAAATTTCCCATTTGGTTTAAGCTTTGAGTTTTTTAGATAGAACATATGATGTTTAAGGATATTTTATTCCAAGGTATAAAACTTGCAAATATTCAAACGTGTAAATTAAGTAATTAAAGTTATCATGTTTAATATTTAATACATAAACTAATAAATAATTAAATAAGTCGTTGTTATGGTACTGTCGTGGTATGTGACTTCTAATACCATGTACCAACTAAATTTACATACTTGATAAAATACTATCAATCAGCTGTATTTGATATTGATTAAATCGATGCGGTTGATACACATATTGGTTAATTTGATTTGGTACAAAATTGTTACCTTTAATTTATACCATTTTTAAAAAGGTAGGAATATTATTTAATAAAGTATATTTATTGATTAATTCAATGTTAAAAATGCTAAAGTTGTAAATTGAAACTAAACTATTAATTTCAACTAAACAATAAATAGGCACACAAAAAAGTCAGTCACCTTTGTTCGTAGATTCTGAAGGAATCTGATTGAATTGAAATGTTGAATTTCGTTGACCAAATTCCATTTCTTCGTTTAGTTCATTCTTTTTCACGAAAGAAATCTTAAAAATCCTACAAATTCCACAGATAAATGAATTTAACATTCCTTAGCAACTACATGGTATTTTGATAGAATGAAATTATGTATTTCATAATATACCAAAAATGCCCTTAATCCAATATACCTTAATCTCATAAGTCATAAAATCCAACATGACCATGGTCGACCACCTTCGACCACTGTCGATCTGAATCACCGCCGACCACCGCCGACCGCCACCATCGACTACCACCGATCACCACCGATCTGAACCCCGCTGATATGAACCACTGCCGACCACCACCGATCTAGACCACCGCCGATCACCGCCATCTGAACCACCACCGATCTGATCCACCCTTGATCTGAACCACCGTCGATCCCCGCCATCTGAACCACCATTGACCACCATCGATCTGAACCATTGTCGACCCTCGCCATTTGAACCACTATGGACCACCATCGATCTGAACCACCGCCAACTACCATCGATCTGAATCACCATCGGCTACTGCCGATCTGAACCACTACTGACGATCATCGATCTGATCCATCGTCGACATGAACCACCCCCTATATGAACTACCACCAATCTGAACCACTGCCGACCACCAGCGACTACCACCAATCTGAATCACTGCAGAACATCGCCGACCATTAACGATTTGAACAACCACCGATCTGAACCGCCATCGCCGCCACCACCGATCTGAACCGCCACCACAACCACCGATCTTAACCACCGTTGACCACATTCATCTGAACCACCATGGACCATCATCGATCTGAACCATTGCCGACCACCACCATCTGAACCACTGCGGACCATCGCCGACCACCTTCGATTAAACCGACCACCGTCGATTTAGTTACGTTGTTTGGCTTATGATTATATTCGGGTTGTGTATTTTATAGTCTTACATATTAAATAATTATTTTTATTAAAGTATTTTTAGTTTTTAAAAAAATTAAAATTTTCAAAAAAAAGCATTTTGATCATTTACCAATATTTCATTTCAATTCCAAAGCTGCATTCTATGAACCAGACAGACAGATTTTAATTCCTTAACAGACTTTATTTCAATGTCTGTCAACCAAACAAGTAATCAAGCTTAACAACATTTCATTTCAATTCATTCAAATTCAAATTCCATCTAAAAACATACTGCCAACCACACCTTAGATTTGTAAACTTACTAGAAAAATGAACTTTAGAATGATTCACAATGATTCTTTTTATGTTTTAACACATAAAGAGTATTTAAAAAAGCCATTTAATAATACAAAATTGAAAAAATTTGTGAATCACATATGGTGTCATGATTGATAATTTTGATAGAGTAAACTACAAATTTGTTCATTGGTTTGTCAAAAATAACACTTTCCGTTCTTTGTAGTTTTAAAATTATAAGATGGTCATTGTTGTTTGTAAAGGTATTTGGATTTGATCCTTTCCTCTAACGGACGTTAAAAATATTACGTTAAATGGAAGACATTTCCATCTTTTTATCGATTTTTTCCGTCTTTTACCCAATCAAAAACCACATGGATCAAAATCATAAAATCGATTTTGATTTGCTAAAAGACAAAAAAAAATATGCCTCCCCCTTAAGGACGTTTTTAACAACCGTTAGAGAAAGGTACCAAATACGGACGTTTTTAACAACCGTTGGAGAAAGGTACCATATACAAACGTTTTTAACAACTGTTGGAGAAAGGTACCAAATCCAGACGTTTTAGCAAATCATGATGACCATCTTGTAATTTCAAAACTGCATATCCTAAAAGTATTGTTCTCAATAAACAATCGCAGCACATCATAAGCGTTAAACCGCTAGCATTCATGTTCAACACGTAGCAAACGATCCGATCACGACCCATATAGGAACACATAACCAAAAGGTAAGCTAACGAGCCAAATAACGAAAATATAAAAACTACAGTTCAAAGTAACAACCAAAGTTACAAATATTCACAGCACCATCATTTGGTGCATCATGTCGATCTCATCTTGATCATTTTATAGAGTATTTCCGTCTCTTGTTGAAAACGTGGAGTTTCTTGAAACTTCCTATTGATTGTATGAATTGAGGTTCAAATTTGTGGCCTCTCCGGTCCTTGAATCGATCATATGCTAATGGCGTCATGTTTTCTTCTGGTACGCAAGTTTCGGAGTAGGGTTTATCCACAAACCTTTTTCTTCTTTTATTGCACACACATAGGCAAAAAAGGTGTTAGAAGCTATGAAATTGTGTTGGACTTGTGACACAATACTACACTTTCATGTCTCCTTCTGGTCCCACCAATCATACAAACACATAACAGTATCTAGTTATTCTCTCCGTAAAGAATAATACTATAAAAAGGGTGTTGCTATATGCACCTCTTTTATCATAATCAAGTCAAATTATACATTGAAAATGTAAAAAGTTGATGTTGATGTGTGAAGAGAAAATTAGTAGGTACGGTGCATTTAGCCTACCCCATGAAAAATGCACACAGATTTAGAAATGTGTAATAATTAAACTATTTATAAGTTAAATGGCAATTTTACCCTTGATAATAAAAAGAAATTTGTACCATCTTATAATTAAGGATAGAATGCGAAAGTAAACATCAATTTTTGAAAGTAGATACTTATTTTGGTACAAACTAAAATATAAATATGAAGATTTATTTTAGGATGGAGGGAATTCTACCTTCCTCCCAAAATAAGTGTCTATATTTCTAATTTAGTTTGTCCGAAAGAAATATCTATTTTCCAATTTACCCTTAATTATGATATGGAAAATTCATTAGTCTTTAGTCTTTCTGTTGTTAAGGGTAAAATTGTCATTTTATTAATTAAAAAGAGTAATATATCTTAAAATGATTGATGGGAAATGAAATTTATTATTCAACTCCCAAATGGTTTAAACTTTCTCATCCAAAGTAATGTGCAGAAGTAGAGTTACCTTGTCATCATGGCCACCAGCAGCAGCAGCAGTATTAACCTGTTTAGACAAATAGGCTTCATAAATTTCCACAAGAAGCCGAGGATCTTTCTCGAGGAGCTCCACGTATTCTTCACGCTTACTTAGTTGGTCCATGTTGTCCAGAATCAACGATAACGCAGCTTCAAGCAAGTTATTCGCATTATGCTGATGAGCAAACGAGTAGCTCATAAGTGAAGTCTCCCAATTCAGTTTCGCAATCAAGAATTTCTCACAGTAATTCTTGAGATGCTTCACTTCGTATTTGTCACCCAACACTAATAGATCACATGCCATTTCGTCATCAAGACATGCTTCGGCTGTATACAGATAGTTCACGAAGGCACGCAGGGCGTCATATGATACATCACTTAGTTTGATGGTACCACTCAGGCTTTCTTCCATTTCGGTTTCAAGCATGGCTCTGAAAACCGGTGAACGGCTCGCCTGTTCATCCATATAGTAAACATAAATTAAACCCGTTGATGATAATTGCAGAAAGTAAGTTGAATTATTCAGATTTTAAAGATAGGCATATGAAGAGTCATAGGAATAGGCCAAAATAAAGAATAGTGGATAGGACAAATCGAGGCATATAAAGAAGCAGGGAAACACCAAAAACAAGCATTGAAAATTAAAAAGGTAAGCCGAATATAACTGTAGTAGCACGGAAGTGATTGGATAGGCCATAAAACTTAGCAAATATGTCGAGTTTCCGCTGCCAACTTGGTGGCAAAAAGTTGGCACACATGTAGCAAAAAATTGACACTCGAAGTGGGGTCCGGGAAGGGTAGGATGTACAAAGACCTTTCCTTTACCTTTAGGAAACGTCTAGTGCTGTCAGCTGCTCAACCCACATTCTCCTAGCCCCGCCTCTCTTCMYCCCCTYSACCAKTGTCSYCATCTATCTCGTACGAATGTGCCCAAATCACCACAATCTTCCCTCCCTCAATTGAGGAACTCTAACTCTACCCAGGAAACCTCGTATGGTATCATGTCCAACATGATCTGTCTGCAAGTCCAGCATAACATCCTCGTTTCTGCATCTTCCAATATTAACAAATGAACGAAAATACAAGTGTGGTTGGTGAACCAAATTTGATGGGTATGTGTTTTCAGTTCTCTCATCACTTCAACATTGATCAAATACCTTGTGAAAACAAACCAATATGACCTATAAAGAACAATCATATTAAGATATTACAACAAAGATTAGTGAGAGCTTAACAGAGAATAAATTCATTATGGTTCACTTTCCTTTCTTGTTGAAGGCTACTTTTGTATGCAAGTACACTTTTCATGTCATGATGCACTAACATATCACAGAGGTCTTCTGTGGTAGAGTCTTCCATACTCTTCTAGTAGTCTTTCATCTTACTCTTTGGCAATAAGGGTATGTGACACCCTCAGGAGCGCTGCCACCGCACCGGTTCCACAGCCATCATGGGTGGATACTCTTCAGGAACATGATCCCATCTTATTCCCATTGAGAGTCATTTACAATTGGTGTTGGGAGTTCCTTTGAATATCTTTGTTGCAGCGTTTGATTTTATGGATAGGATTGTTCTCTACCCCCAACCCCTCTAAAAAAAGCTTCTTTTCTCTAGGAGGCCCCCTCACGTCATCCAACGATTAGAAGGTTCAGGTACCCTTTGTGAGGGGATCTGAATGACATACCCTAAGCACATGTCTAGGATCCATGCAGTTGGACCAACTGTCCCAAATGCTGAGGCAGAATTTGATAGCTTAGGTGATTGTCTATCTTGAATTACATTATGGGAGCTAGTTTCTTTGACGTGACTCAAGTCCCCTCCTATACCTTCTTAAATCGAACTTCTCCATGCCATTTTTATTTATATTTGAAATTGCACATTGTTTGCCGTTTTACTTTGTGACATGTGACAAATCAATATCTTCTGCCAATAGGTTTGCTTCACACATACTGCCTCTTCGCAATGATTGCTGCTATTTACTTTTGTCTTTCTTAATTCATATTCCACAGTTAAATAATATTTCACAATTTCGACTGTTTCATTTCTGATCCGGGCACCAATGCCTTTATCATTTAATCTCGTCCATCCACTATACTTCTGCCTTTTCCCATCAGCCTACTCTGATTAGTCATTCTCATATTGCAGATTTAGTTTTTATTGAGTTTTGATTCCAGTGTCACATTTTTTTTTTGGGGGGGGGGGGATTCGTTGGGCTACATGGATTTTACCAGGCTAACCTTTCATAATTTCAGCCCAAAAGCAGAAATGCGTTCGGGACCTGGTACCAGAAGAGAGAGACTTGGAAGGGCTTGTCAATGAATGCAGGTCACTACAAAACTACGCAACCTTTCAGCATTTAAATTTTTTTGTTTCTGAGAACTGTCCCCATTCCCTTTATCATTAAATCTCTACTATCCAATGTCCTTTTTTGCTTTTTACCAGTTAGCCTACTCTGTTTGTGTTGTCATATTTAGTTCTGAAATGAATTTCAATTAATATGTATAATTGAGGGGGAGATCAGTTGGACTCCATAGATTTTAGCAGCCTAAGCTTTCGTAAATCCAGACAAAAAAGAGGAAATGTTGTAGGTCGGTCTGTAAACCAAAAGAAACAAATGTGGAAGGGATTGCCAAGAGTGGAGCTGAGGATGATGAGAAGAATGCTAATAGGTTAGGTGTAAAGGGAGATGACTAGACCTTCAATCCTTAACCGCACTCTTATTCAGAATAACAAAAGCCCCTCCAAAATCTCTTCAATCCCAAAGGAGGATATGTGTCGATTAAAGCCAGAAGAAACCTAAAAGGATTTGAGGGACGAGCTGAGGGGGGGATGACAAGGATGCTAATGGTGAGAAGTAAAAGAAGCTGACTCAACCTTCAACCCTCATCCATAATGCAGATGTGAACAATTTGCCCAAGTGCAATATGCCCTATCCTAGCAATCCTATCAAGATTAATAAAACGCCTATACAATATTTCTTCTGACCCAAAATAACATATCATGGTTTACAAAATTATCGAATGTACGAACTCCAGCCTTTCTAGGTAGGATGTAGACTCATCCATAAACAATGGCTATAGAATTCCTATCTACCACTTTTACATTCAACTCTGCCAACGTCTCTGCATGTGCCCTGGGAACTTGCTCACAGTTTCTTCACACAAATTACCTCACTCCTACCCATTATCTCATAGGAGCAAGAAATCTACACATACAGGTCTTTTTACGGTTTGCATCTTGGTCACAAGAAGACTTTCAAAATTTTGTTTTTTCACCCAAATGGATTGTATTCCCAGAAGAGTGAAAACATATTCTATCATTAGTGGCTTAGTATAATTGGTGGCAATTTGACTACATACGCAATATACTGCAACATTTCTATAAGTTGTGGAACATTAATCTTTTAACGTTTAAACACATGGAGCAGACACCTTTTCTAGGTCAAACAAAACTAGCTAGCTAGAAGCATTGTGAGAAGTAGGGGATGTTGAGCAGTCGAAAGCCATAGTATGCTACCTAAACATAGGAGGGTTGGATCAGGGAATGTGGATGTGAATATAATCTTTTGCTTAGCAAAATGTTGAGATAGAGGTGGTGTTCTAAAAAGCATTAAGTGGAGATAGACAGCTGACTGGCGTTCTAGCACTTAATCGTTTAAGCAGGGATTAAGCGGAAGTGTAAGTTTAGTGAGAAAAGCTTAAATTCAATCATTAGTTGCTAAACTAAGGCGCTGGGGGACCTTTAACTCCTAGATAGCCAATTAAGCTACCTATTGCAGTGATAGAAGAAAGATTAATGCCAAGGCAGCCGCTTAGGCGGTGAGTTTTAGACCACTGGATAGAAGCCTAATGGAGCAAAAAGCGACAAATGACAAAAGACTATCGGTGCTACTAACAAGAGAGTTCAAAATACGAAAGAAACAAGAACCAGTCCTATTTAGGCTCCCTCCTTAAATCTATAGCCTCAAAATGAGCACTTTGGATGGGGAAGGTGGCAGAAGTGTTACTGACCTAAGAAGCAATTGTTGCTAATATGTTCTGGTGTTTCATCACCATGCCCGACAAAATCCGTCCATGTACGGTAGCTGACAACACGAGATTAATCTCTGTCCCCTGACTTTAGAAAAACATGTCGATCTGAATAAGTGCTCAAACATTAAAAGATTAATGTTTAGAATGGATAAAACATTTATTCATTCTAACCTTCTACTTCAACATTTGCGAACTTTGCTTTCCTCTCCTAGAGTGCTAGCAGTTCGTCCATTCCTTCCCCTTTTTCACCATATTAATGGTCTAATGTATATATTAATTAGGGACTTAACAATCGGGTATTGGGTTAATTAGGTTGGATTGCGTTCAAATAACCCTAACCCAATTCCAACCCAATACCAACGGTTTAAGAATTTACAACTCATTTAGGCATCGGGTGGCTTCAGGTTGGGTTGGGTTCGACAGGTTGGTCGGGTTTTTGTGCGCCCCTAAACATATGTGTGCACAAAAAAAATCTTAACATAAAAAGTATTTCCCAATTCAAGTCATTCACAACAATACCAACACCAAAAACAGAAGCGAAACAATGGCAACAACAACTGCTCAACACAAACCAACTCATAGACCAAAATACTTTAAAACATGTTTTAGGAAACTGTTACAATCATTTTCTAGACAACACAATATTTGAAAGCTGTATGGTCCCTATACTATCAGAAACAGAAAAATAAACAATGGGCTTTGGATACAAGCAAGACTAAGAGGATACATAGTTTGTGCATGAAAGGACTCATTGACGTTCTTTATCTTGTAATAACACATAACACAAAGAAAGATCATCATATAATTGTCTATATGACCACCTCAAACTTAATTGTACTAGAAATTAATCATATCTATAAGCAATCCCACTTGTAGTTCTTTAAAAGTCAAAATACAAGATTGATGGTAAAAAATGATTACTCATAATATATATATATATATATAGAGAGAGAGAGAGAGAGGGAGGGGAGGATCAAACGAGAACGGTACCTATTTAAAAGAAAACGAAAACGGTTGAATCACATGTGATTTTACATTAACATCGCATACAAAATCACGTGTGATTCAGGCGACCTTGCCCCGTGACCTGAAGACGCAGCCACAAGTCGTCCGGACACTTTTTTTGACCATTAATGTAAAATCACGATACTTATTTAAAAGAACACGAAAACGGGTGAATCACATGTGATTTTACACTAACATCGCATACAAAATCACGTGTGATTCAGACGACCTTGCCCGATGACCTGAAGACGCTGCCACAAATCATCCTGACACTTTCTTTGACCATTAATGTTTTGCATGTTGTTCTCGTTTGATCCTTCCCCCCTCTCTCTCTCTATATATATATATATATATTATATGTATATATCAAATGCATCCAAATTAAAAAGAAAAGGCAGGATTTTCCATGTAAAAAATGGTACGAAATGCCCAAAATGAAAACAAATTATGTCATGTCAACTAGAAACTTGTAAAATGACCTTTTGGTAGTGCTTGAAAAATTATTTTAAATTCATGTTCATTCCGCAAACCCTTGCTACCCCCTCACTTCCTGGTTCGAGTATGAGGCCATATGAACAAAACATTGAACCGCAAAAGTCATTTGAAATCTTAATAAATGTAGAGAGGAATTTCTAACTACATTAGAGCTAAAAAATTGCTACCTATAGAAAAAACATTGGTACGAAATTAGAAAATGAGCATCCGCAGCACTTGTGAGTATGAAATTATTGTGCTTTGAAAGCAAGTCACGGGGAAATAGGTACTGACCAAAACGGCCTTATTGGCCGGGACTGGAACGGAATTGGCGATCGGTTTGCCGGAATCTTCGTCAAAAGCCACCAGAAGGACGTCGGTGAAGCAGGGATTGGTAGATCGGTGATAATGGTGAGGGCGGGAGTCGAGTGGGGCCCAGAAGCGGAGGAAGTTCACTTTTGCCTTTAGTTCTTCAATCTCGAGCTTCAGTTCTTCCTCAGTCTCGCTCGCCTCCTCGTAACACTCCCTGCAAGTGCCGGCATCAACTGCGCCGTACTCATCCTTGCAAGAGACACACTTCATCATCTCCGATGAATGAATTCTCTTCGTTAATTTCTACTTCGCTCAAGTCAAATAAGGGCGGCCGGTGGCAATGGCGGTGGTGGTGGTGGTGACGGTGACGGTGACGTCGGATTATGTGATGGTATTGGTGGTTGTCAAGTTGTCCGTTTAAAGAAGTCACGCTAGAAAAGGTGGACCCTTAAATTGAGTGCATTGCGTCATGGTACAAGTGCTACCATTGCAAAATGAATTTTATGTATTTTTTTTTTATGTTTTTGGAAAAATCATCTAAATTACCGTAATACTAAGGGGTCGTTTATCCAAATATTTATCCGGTAAGTATTTATTAGGTAATTTTTCTTATCGGATGAATATGGCAAGGGTCAAATCTTACCCGGTAAGAGCAATGATAAAGATAAATGATCTTACTCGGTAAGTGATGATGAAGACTCTTACCCCGAGTAAGTGCTTACCGGGTAAATTGTTGCATACAATACAATTTTAATATACTAGAATCTTATCCGGTAAAATAAATTACAGTGTTGACTCATAACGATAAGCGCTTAACGGGTAAACATTTAAGCAAACGGCCCCTAAGACTCATGTGAGAATAATAGTTAAAGTGAGAAGCGTAAGAATGGATCTGGACAATTGATCATCTTTAATCTCAAATCCATCTATGAATCATGCTTGATGCAAGGATTGATTCGGTGCATCTCATCTTAATATACATCATTATTCAAACAACACTAATTTGATTTTAGATATTCAATTACAGCTATGATGAAGAATCATATGAGAATGAGAGTTAAGATAAGAAGCATAAGAGAGAATCTGGACCTTTGATCATCGTTAATATCAAACTCTTCCATGAATCGCGTTTAATACGAAGATCAATACGGTGCATCTCATCTCAGTATCATCCTAATGTGCATCCAAGAACGGAAATCATTTCTTACGTTTCTCACCTTAATTCTCCTTCTTACTTGAACTCAATCCATTACCAAAATACATAAACAATTAAGAGCATCTCTTATTGTTTTTATATATAGGAGAACATTTAAGATTCATATACTTGATATGAGGAGTTAAGAATATGTTAAAAACAAGGGTAGTTCTAAATATATATATATATAATAGGGTTGGGTTCACGTGAGATCAATGATTTTTTGTGAGACCCGTAAGACTAATTTATATTCATTGATCAACTTTATAAGTTAATGATCTAATGGTCTAAAGTTGCACGGTGGCAAGGTGAAATGTGTTCGGGAACGTTTGAAGGCAGCACAGGACCGACAAAAGAGTTACGCGGACAAGAGCAGCCGACCTATAGAGTTCCAAGTGGGCGACCGCGTAATGCTAAAAGTGTCCCCTTGTAAAGATATTATTCGTTTTGGAAAGCGTGGGAAGCTAAGTCCCCGTTTCCTTGGACCGTTTAAAGTCTTGGCTAGGGTGGGACTTCAGGCTTACCAATTAGAACTGCCACCTGAAATGGCCGGAATCCACCACACATTCCACGTATGCTACCTTCGTAAGTGCTTGGCGGAAGAAGAAAGTGTAATACCACTTTCGGAGATTCGCATAGATGAGAACAACCGATGCGTGGAAGAACCGGAAACCATCTTGGAAAGCAAGACCAAGGTATTGAGGCACAAGGAGGTTGTCATGGTCAAGGTGAAATGGAAGCATCATCGAGGATCAAACGTAACATGGAAAGCAGAAGAAGATCTGAAGAGGCGTTACCCGCACCTATTCTCGTGTACCAAAGATTTCGAGGACGAAATTTAATCCAAGGTGGGAAAGATTGTAACACCTGGATTTTTCTTCTTACATGTCCTTCTTCCCTTTAGTGAAAAGGGAAAGGGTAGCTACACCTTTTTCTGACCCACCCATTTTCATCTAAACCCTTTTCCTTGAAGTTTCCCCTTTTCCATAGAAGTTCTTAACCTTCATGTATTAGATGGAGATGATGTTTAAGGGGGAAGAGGGTGCAGCAAAAGAGAAAGAAAAGAAAAAAAGATAAAGAAAGAAGAAGCAGCAAGCTGCTGTTAGTGAGGGAAACAGCAGAAAATCAAAGCAGCAAGTAAAAAGCAGCACTCTTAGCTGTTGTTTGGGGCGACGAAACAGAAAGAAGAACCGAAGCAGTCGCTGCCCTCTTCCGTCTCGCAACAGCAGCAAGTTAGGCTGCGTTTTTGCTGTTATGTGGTTCTCTCGACAGCAGCAACAGCAAGTTAGACTGCGTTTTTGCTGTTCCGTGGTTCTCTCGACAGCAACAGCAGCAAGACAGCCTGTGTTTTGCTGTTCTGTGGCTCTCTCGACAGCAGCAGCAACAAGTTAGGCTGCGTTTTTGCCGTTCTCAGTCCTATCGGCAGTAGCAGCAGTAAACAGCAGGCCGTAAGGCGTTGTTTTTCTCCGCCTTCCTTGCCAAAACAGCAACTATTGCTGTCCCTCGCCACACAGCAAACAGCACCCTGCTGTGTTGTGCTGTTTATCCTCTTTGCACCGTGCTTGAACAACTACCTGCAGCGCGACTGTGCTGCTTACTCCTTACTGCCCAACACTGTTCCTGCTGTCTCATGGAGTAGAAGTGCGATTCCATTGCTTCGACTTCCTGCCGGCAGCTTTTAGTTCCAGATTTTAAGATTCTTCGTTATGTGAGTTCATCTTAACCCCTCTCTATGAAAATTTACATTATTGTAAGAAGCTTTTACTTACCTTATGCCTAAAAATTTCATATAGTACTTATTTAGATGAAATGAGCATTATCGGGTCAAAAGAACGAACTTGGGTATTCATGTTTATAGTGGTAAGATGAGTTTAGATAAATGTTCTAAATCACTTGGTAAAATACTCGTTCCTAAAGTGTAGTTACCATTAAACTTTACAATCCTCATACCCAAGTTTGAAGTCTTGTATTAGCAAAAAGGATCATTTCACTTGTGTTAGGACTCACGTATAACTTTATCGATGAGTAAGTGCTATAATGCTTATGTTACCACATACAAGTATATCGCCAAATTATAGTGGGTTTAAAAGCATGAAATTCGTTTCACTGTATTGGTGTGAAGGATGGCGTAAGTTGGTTTTTAGGCATTGCGATCATTATGTAAATTTCCAAGCCATCTTCCCACCCACTCGGAAATAGGCATTGTGATTATTATGTAATTTCTGAGATAAAGAGCTTAGGATCACGACCGACTACATGACTGGTTTAGGTTGATGTCGATGATATTAAACCTGTAAGTGATGCTCTATAATGTCGATTTATGACTTACTTTGTGTTCGTCATAACCAACGGTAAATCGGGTCTCCCCCGTCATCCTCGGATGTTTTGGCTTCTCCGCGTGATATTTTGGATTAATTGTTTTCTTACATCGTTTGAATTTACGTCGATCCGTACATATATATATATATATATATATATAGAGGAGTGATCATATGAAAACCGCCCTCATTTGTGTAAACCGTGCAAACCACCTTCATCTGTCGATTTCATTGTTTAATCTTATGAAATTTTTTCATGAAATTGTTTAATCTTGTGAAATTGTTTCATATAATATATTTTT